ATATACGGCAGTTAAACATGGCTTGGTCTAACAACATTACACAACAACTACCGGTATTCATATCTCAGGATCATATTCAGAATATTCTGGTCCAAAACTCCAAGGATCAGAAATCGAAGTCGACCACATGTCGACAAATAGTAGTCCAAGAACTAAGACAAAATAACTTTAATGGTATGATGCAAGGACAACTGTCACTAGCCGAGTACTGCACCTTGGGCAGAACCCCTTTTCACGGAAGACTTGAGGAGTTTCATTGAAAAAATACAGTTTCATCTTTTTATACAGCAATTTTAGACAGCATTATATTCTTATATGAGAACAAAAAGAGTTTGTCCCCATGTAAGAGCAGAAGTTAATTTTCTAAGGTTCTGTGTATTCTAAAAGAATTGTTTAAGTTCTTCTTTTAGAAGACATTTTATTCTTATAAGTAAGAGAAGAGAAGAATGTTGGGAAATATCCGTCAGTATATTTTTTATCCTCTTAGAAAACGAGATATCAAATTACAGCTACAGCCCGTACAGCTAAATTTATTTGAAAAAGAGCCAAAGGTAACCAAAATGCATAATGTATGAGGTTGTGGCAAAACATTGGTCCATGGTATTTCAAGAATCTGGGGTACCAAATTGAGAAAAGTATGCATTCGTCTGCACATGACTTATTAGCATAGATATAAGGCATCAAGAATGAGTTAATACATGGATAATTATTTAACAATTTCAAACCCTGTTGGCCATAACAAAAGCAACTAAAATAGCAAGGTTAATAAGTGCGGCATAACTTTTACAAAATTAAATATATCGTGCGATATGTCCTTTTAAATTATCTGTAAGAAGATTTATATATACGAAATATGAATTTACAGACACCCAGCTTAAATATTCTAAATTACATACACTTCCGGTGGAAAATTAGCGAAGCACCATCAAAATAACTGAAAAGGGGTGTATCGTTTTTCAAAGCTTCTCGTATCAAATAGTGGCGGTGAAGAAGACCGGCGGCTAGAGGAAGATTTGCTAGAAGAATGCATGCCCAATGATTGCAAATTTAGATTAGCTCCCATATATAGGTTCGTCCGATTTATTGTAAATTGGGGCACCAAAGTCCCTCTATATCCTTCGATTTGTATGAAATTTGGCATAGAGTACTAAATTAGGTGCAGAACGCTGTGTGCCAAATTTCAAGAAAACCGGTTCAGATTTAGATATAGCTTCCATATATAGGTTCGTCCGATTTAAGATAAATGGTGCACCAAAGTCCCTATATATCATTCGATTTGCACGAAATTTGGCATGGAGTACTGAATTAGGTACGGAATGATGTGTGCCAAATTTCAAGAAAATATGTTCGGATTTAGGTAAAGCTTCCATATATTGGTTCGTCCGATTTAAGGTAAATGGTGTACCAAAGTCCCTATATATCATTCGATTTGCACGAAATTTGGCATAGAGTACTGAATTAGGTCCAGAATGATGTGTGTTCAAGTTCAAATCGGTTCAGATTTAGATATAGCTCCCATATATATTTTCGTCCGATTTAAGGTAAATGGTGTACCAATGTCACTACATATCTTTCGATTTGCACGAAATTTGGCATAGTGTTATGAATTATGTCTAGAATGATGTGTGTTAAGTTTCCTGGAAATCGGCCCAGATTTAGATATAGCTCTCATATATATTTTCGTCCGATTCAATGTAAATGGTGCGCCAAAGTCCCTAAATATCTTTCGATCTGCACGAAATTTGGCACAGCGTAATTAATTAGGTCTAGAATGATGTTTGTTAAGTTTCCTGAAAATCGGTTCAGATTTACATAAAGCTCCCATACATATTTTCATCCGATTTAAGGTAAATGGTGCACTAAAGACCCTATATATCTTTCGATTTACACGAAATTTTGCATAGCGTACTGAATTAAGGCTAGAATGACGTGTGCTAAGTTTCGTGAAAATTGGTTAAGATTTAGATAAAGCTCCCATATATATTTTCGTCCGGTTTTTTGTAATTGGTGCACCAAAGTCCCTATATATCTTTCGATTTGCACGAATTTTGGTAAAGGGTAGTGAATTAAGTCTAGAATGATGTTGGTAAGCATCGTGAAATGATCCATAGCTAGGCCGATTTACACAACGTACTGATGTAATATAAATTAGTCTCTAGCAAGTTTCCCTGAAATCGGTTCAGATATATTCCACATATGTTAGGATACATATGTAAATATACCCAAAGTGGTGAAGGGTATCATATAGTCGGCTCAGTCCGACTTTACTACTTTCCTTACTGTTTTTTTTTTTTTAAGTTCGGCTTATGGAACAAATATTCTGCCTCGAGCCAAAAAAAGTAAGTGTTGAAATACATACCAACATAGAACTTTTTCTGCGAATACTTTTTTCAAGAAATTCCAAGAACCCGGATTGCCAAATTACAGCCATCTATGTTCAAAAAATTGGACTGTGTCAAATATTGGGCATATATTGAAATTTTCGATGTTCATCTTCCATCTTTCTTAAACTTTCAAAATATCGAAAATGGGACAACACATTTTTATGAGGGCTATGTCAAAAATGAGCAAACGTGGAGACTTTTTTGCGCCATTTACATGAAGTCTGAAGTGAATTATTTGGAATTTATATCGCAATCTGAACCGTTTTAAACAAAACACTTCAAAGTTCATTTTTATATCATGTCGGAAGACGATGTAAAATTTCACATCACTCGGATGGTCTTTTGGGAGCCATTTTCATGAAGTCTGACGATATTATATGTGAAAGCTATATCTACATCTGAACCGATATAAAATACATTTTGGTGGACATCTAATCTTAACAATAAACAAAATTTGGTTCCATTCGGACAAACATTGGGAGTTTGGTGAACCATGTTTAAAGACACCCTACAAACTTTTAGACCACCCTACGTTATTGTTCAGCATTTCAATACAATTCAACATGTTGCTACAACAAATGTTTCAACAACAAATTAACAACATAATGAAAGTTTTGCGGTTATGTTACGAGAACGCATCTTTCTCATCGTATTTCAAACTTCGCCGGCAAAAAGCGTTATCAACAAAGAAAACGACGATATTGACAGTAATTCTCTCATATATACGAAGAGGTGACGACTCTCAACGCACATGTGTATAATGAATACTCTTCTGACACTCAATTCGCCGCAAAGCCACACAGACGACGAATTCATTCAAGAAAAAAAGCGAAGCGAATTTGGTTGTCGTATAGCTCGGCGATATTCGGCAGTTATGTGTGTAAAACGATTTTGCCGCTACGATTTTACTTCGACTGGCATCATCTTCTCCCAGCAGGCTGGCAGGCAGGCAGTCACTTGTGTAGCTCGTCGTATATAAACGTGCGTTAGCGGCCACCGGTGAGCCATAAGACGCCTTCAAGTCTAGCTGGCTGTTACAAACGAGAGTAGATATTGAAGTAGTGTCAAACAAAGTAATATTTGAAAAATAAATAAAAAAAATTAAACACACAAATATTTTATTACTTTCGGTGGATTATATTACAACATTAAAAACAAATAAACACGCGCACATTTTTAAGTGAAATTTGTTTAAAATAAAACAATAAAAATTAAAAACCAGTGAGCGGAGCAGTATAGTCGGACGGGGCCGACCATACGATACCCTACACAACTACCACGAACTCTAACTTTCTGAGGATGTTTATTCCGAGTCTGAGTAATATTTCGTGATATTTGCCCCCTCTTGTCCGATTAGAGGTTAACAACACCTCTTCCTTACTATTTTCGAATATTCAGTACAGTCCTTCTAATTACTTGTCCAGATTACCTTCACGGTGGGTTGTGTTGTGATTTTTGGATTATACTCTACTCGAAAACACACAAAAAATTATATTCTCCGTCCATTTCATCCCAAAATTTTAATCTGATCATCACCGAAAATTATAGGCGTTGTTCTTGACCATAACTGGAACCTCATGAACAATTTCAAAGCCATCAGCGCGATATTTCTCCCTCTAATGTGGTAATGGGTTACTAAATAATATCTGAATACGTAAGCACCTGTAAATATTTGACTGTAACTCCCACATCTGAGTAGATACATCACTATATTTGGTATCAATTTAAAGGCCAACCACTCCTCTTGGATATGCTATCAACTCCTGGGGTCTACATCCTCCAGGAGTAAATATATATGCCATAGAATACAAATTTTGTCATTTTTCACACAAAAGTCAGGGTCCATTTGACCCGCTAAATATTGACCGATCTTTATCAAAACATGCGTGCTTATTCTCTGGCCCGATCCCCTTCTCCATGCAAAAATTCGCGGTGTTTGGGCCATAATTGCGGCCTCTGGAGCGACCAGAAAAACCGACAAAAATTTAGTATTTGGTCCATTTCATCCCCTAAATATTAACCGATCTTTTCCAAAAACAATAGGGGTCTTCATTGGACAGAACCCATCCTACATGCAAAATTTCGTGACGATTGGTCCATAATTGTGGCCTGTATCGTGTTTACAAATTATAATGGACAGACGGACGGACGGACGGACGGACACACATGTCTAGATCGACTCAGCTAGTCGAGATATGACGATCGGTATACTTAAAGGTGGGTCTAGGACCAATATTTCGCGGCGTTACAAACATTTGGGGCTGCACAAAGCTATAATACCCTGACAACATAGTTGTGTAGGGTATAAAAAATAAATTTGGTTTTAAATATATGACAACATACCTTGTGTCTGTGCGCGATAAATATCTGAAAATAAAAATAGTAAATTAACAATTTCAATTTATTTATAAGAAAATAATTGCTGAAATACCCAAAAAATTTCGAATAGAAGAATAAACAACAAACGGTGCAAATTTCTAAAACAAATAATTTTGTCTTATAAATAAACAAATAAATAAAAACACCAAACACAATTATTAAGCAACAAAGTTTTTAAATTGATTATTTTTTTAAATAAATAAATTTGAAAAATAAAAAGTGTTGAAATCACCAAAAAATATAACAAAATGAAAAACATAAAAGCAAATTTTCTACTACAACTCTGTGTCCTGGCAATTAGCCTAAATACTGCCTTTGCCTGTCATGGCACTTTGTTAGGTAAGTTTCGAAAATTATTTTTTTTTAATAAAAAATTTTGTCTGACATAGTTGAAGTTAGAAAAAAAAAAATAAAGAAAATAGTCATTAGGAAAATAGTCATTAGAGAATTGTGAAAAAAAATCCAATAGAAAACTGTGGTCGATTTTTTTTTTCTATAGAAAAAAATACCCCACAAACTGTGGTCGAATTTTTTTCTATAGAAAAAAACTTTACAAACAGTGGTTGAATCTTTTCATATAGAAAAAATACTCTACAAAAATACTCTACGAATTTTTTGTATAGAAAAACATACTTCAAACACTGTGGTAGAATTTATTTCTATAGAAAAAAATACTCCACGAATTGGTTTCTATAGAAAAAAACAAACCTCAGAAACTTTAATTCTATTAAAAAAAAAACCTCAGAAATTGAGGTTGATGTTTTTATTAAAAAATAGAAAAAACCTCAGAAACTGAGAAATTTTTTTTTAAGAAAAAAACCCCAGAAACTGAGGTTGAGAATTTTTTACTACCCCAGAAACTGTAGTCGATTTTTCCGATAGACAAAATATCCCAGAAATGTGTCCAATTTTTTTATAGAAAAAAAAAATACATCAGCAGCTCTGGTCGATTTTTTATAAAAAAAAATGTCCCTGAAATTGTGATCGAATTGAGAAACTAAAATATTACTACCGCATTCAGAAAACAGGTTGGCACCTAAAATACTCTTTCATCATCCTCACCATCATCTTCTAAACGTTTTGAAAACCTATTAACAAATTTATGGCTTATTTGAATGACAATTTGGCAACCAGGCAGGCAAGCGAAAAAATTAAGGGTGTGTCCAATAAACATTAGAAATAAATAATTTATATGACAATTAGATGTCACTTTGACAACTGTCATATATCTACATACAAATGTGTGTAAGTTTATATACCAATATTGGCCATGTGAGCAGGTTTAGAAAATGAGAGCTTTAAGAAAAACAAACAAACGGAAAACACAAACACATCAATGAAGAATCTATAATTTAATAATTATTTGTTTATTTATTATTATTGTTGTTTCTGTTTTTATATTCCTATTCGTAATCATAATATTAATGAAATTCACTACACCGTCTTCGGATCGTTTTTGTTGTCATATGAAAACGTAAGAAAAAAAAATCGAAATATGAAAACAAAAAGTCATCTCAACAGCCAGCCAGCCAATGATTATTTTCAAATGCCATTGTTCACAATTGTAATGAGTCAATAATATTGGCCAGACAAAAAGCAATATTTTTTTGTTGTGTTTTTACCCGTTATTATTAGCCAGACAACCTGACTGCCTATCAGCCGGTCCGGCCCGGACCGCCAGCCTGCCTACCCAGCTACTTGTATGCCTGCTAGGCAGTTTTGTAAATAATAATTCGTTTGTTTATTGAACTACACCATTGAGATGTTAAAGTCATTTATAAAAAAATACAATTTTTTTCTTAACGGTGTAATTTTTTTGGAGGCACTAACCTGAAGCCCCCCATAATAATGGCGGCAACAACAAATGAAATTTTCGAAAAAAAAATATTTGACTTCAAGCTAAATTTGTATTGCTTAACTATGGCTTTGCCACAATGCACTTTAATTGATGACAGCTTAGAGAAGTATTGAACTGAAGTGCATATATGCACATATTTTTTATTCTGTTGTTGTTGCTTCATGTCGTTCACTTTCATTTAAAGGTTAAAACAATGAATATAGATTGGAAATATCGCTAATTTGTTGCAAGACCGGCATACATCAAATGAGTAATGTATGAGAAATTCCGGAATTAAAAAAAATTGTGCCCTTAATTTTAGTGAACCTTTTTCTTTAGAAAAATAGTTTTTTTTAGAAAATATATTCAGTAAGTGGGGAAAATTTTTCAAGATCATGATCAGTGAAATGAAATTGATTTTAAGGTGGCTGAGTTTAATTTTGCTTCCATAAAAAAATCAATGAACTCAGTTTCAATTTTTTTGCACAACAAAATTTCAGCTCAGAGGCGTTTTTTGTTTGCAAAATAGAAAAAATCATCAATAAATTTTGCAATAAAAAACTCTTCATGATTATGATGATGACTCGTATAGAATTTTTTTATTCGTTTTTATATTTTTCACATAAATGAAAATTTCGTCCTGTAAACAGTTAGAAAAAAAAAAAAACAATGATTGATAGCATTTGAATATAATCTTGATTGTCTTGATGATGAGCGTTTTGCCAAAAAGGAAGTAAATCATAAATAAATTGCTACAACTTGATTAATCTTTTTATTTGCGTTTTTTATATTATAATTTTGAAAATTTGATTATCAACAGTTTATTAGCATTTAATTCAGTTTTTATTTTTGGCAAATGATTGTTGTATATATAACAATGTTTTTTTTTATGTGTGCAAATTAACTGTTTTATTTCCGCTCTTGATTAGCCATAAAGTGAATGTAAATTTTATGGTAATAAAACAAGGAATAAGAAAACATAAATTAAACAATTTAAAAATAAAATATAAATATTTTTTGTTTTCGTTTTTGTAAAAAAATATAAAAAATTAGCTTAGATTCTGAGATATTTGTTTCTTATAGGAAAATCTGATCAAAGCATTTTCAATATTTTTTTTTATAGAATAAGAACGATTTCAGCTTATGAGGTAATAAAAAATTGACCAATTCACAAGCACACAAACCTATATAAACCTGAAAAGGACAATCTCAGTATAATTTTTCTATATAAAAAAGTATGTACAGTTTCTGAGGTATTTTTTTTTCTATAGAAAAAAATTCGACCTCAGTTTCTGAGGTATTTTTTCTATAGAGGTATTTTTTGAGGTGGATTTTTAATAGAAAATAATTCCTAGGAAACTGAAGTCGATATTTTCTATAGAAAATAAGGTCCAATTTTCTTAAACACTGAGGTGAGCTTTTTTTATTGAAAAAATGTATCAGAAGATGAAATTGTATTTTTTCTGCAGAAAAAAAATCGAACTAATTTCTTTTTTCTATAGGAAAAATGAGGTTATTTTTTCTATAGAGAAAAATTCAAACTCAGCCTCAGGTTTCAGGTTTATTTTTCTATAGAAAAATTCCCACGTCAGTCTCTGAGGGTACTTTTTTCTATAGAAAAATTCCCACCTCAGCCTCTGACGTCTGTTATTTGAAATATTAAAATTTTCAAACTCGAACTAATCCTTTCTTTTTTCTATAGGAAAAATGACCACTCAGACTCTGAGGTTTCTTTTTCTATAGAAAAAATTCCCACCTCAGCCTCTGAGGTTACTTTTTTCTATAGAAAAAATTCCCACATCAGCCTCTGAGGTTACTCTTTTTCTATAGAAAAATTCCCACATCAGCCTCTGACGTCTGTTATTTGAAATATTAAAATTTTCAAACTCAGTGTCGGATGCTACTTTTTTCTACAAAAATCTCAAGTGCAGTTTTTGAGATATTTTCTTTAGAAAAAAAAATCGAACTAAATTTCTGGCATAATTTCTTCATAAAAAAAATTACCCCATTTCTGAGGTCTTTTTTCTCCATCCCCAGTTTTTTAATTTTTTGTTTTCTTTAGAAAAAAAAGTCAGCAATAAAAATTTGACACTCTAATCACAATTTTAATTTACACACAGATTGAGATTTTATAACCCACTAAAACTCCATAATTTTTGCTGGAACCACAACCAAAATCTGATTACAGTGATAATAAAAAACAGTATACCGAACAAATTTCAGCTTAAGGAACGAAGAAAGTAATACCAGCTGAATAATAAAAAATAATCATAAAATATTAGAAATTAACCATAAACATAGATAGACACGTTTTGCATTTGCAAAAACAGAAGTTTTATTTGCCATAAACTTGTTTTTTTATTCAGCTTTAGGAGATTGCATAAAAATCATCGCATCATCGTCACAAGACGGTTGGGGCGGGTCCTATCTAACCAAAATCCTATTGAATATTCAAATTGGATTTTGTTCAAAATCAATGCATATTGTGAATATTTAATGTGATGCCATATCGTGTCTTGGTTAATTGATATTTTGAATGGTTGATAAAAATGACAATTTGAACTAATAATAAATGTTTAGTTTATTAAAATGATTATTATTATTTTTTTTTGTGAGGGGAATATTCCTTTCAATATTTCTTTATGGCATGAGTTACCAAAGAAATTGTATTTTTAGAGTGGAAAAAGTGTGTTTTTGACAAAATCATTGTTCGAATATAAATGTATTTTTTTTTAGCTATAAAGAAAGTCCAATGTAAGCGTGTTGTGTTCCAAGTATTAAAACCTGATATGCCTAGCAGAATTTTTAAACAGCTAGAACATAAAAATTAATTTTTTTGATTCAAATGGAAATGTTAAAAGATTCGACATTTTTGTATGTTCTGGTTTTTATTGTAGTGGTGATGATGTAAACAACCCAACCAAAAAAAACTGGTCACTAGCCCAAAAAACAAATAAAAATCAAAAGACTTAGACAACAAACTTTGTTGACATGAGGCCATTGGAAAGTTAAATCAATAGACTTAGGAGACAAACTTTATTTCTTTCGAGATCTTTTTTTGGAAAAAAATTAAGCAAAACTCCATAAAAATTGATTGAATGGGTCACCATGAAAACATCATGACTCAGCTGATTTTTTGTTTTATGTTAAATTGTTTTGATTGAATCAATGGAAGGTACAGTAACTTTATTATTAATTAAGTATTCAATATCCTACACGTGTTACAACAGCAAAATATTACACAGAATCTCTTTGTTTATTAAAAAATCCTTAACTACATGAGGTTTATATTTTCTGAAGAAAACATTTGTAATTTTTAAATTCCTCTATTTTTTTGAAATTAAAATTACCATCTAACATGCAAGTATTCGTGTCTAAAAAAGGGTTACCAAAGTTAAATTTTCCATTTCTTAATAATGAAGACAACATTTCATCAATCATGTAAATAATAACCCTTCATCTAACGGGAAAACATTAGCTATTATTTTCTTTTCCCTAACCC